TGTGTGTGTGTGTGTGTGTGTGTGTGTGTGTGTGTGTTTGACAAACTGATTATAAAATGTGTATAGAAATGTAAAGCATTGAGAATAACAAAGACAACTTCAAAAAGAACAAAGTGGTAGGATTTACTCTACTTGATATCAGGACTTATTTATTATAAAGCTAGTGTAAATAGGAGCATGAGATATCGGCACAAGATTAGACAAATAAACCAATGGAACAGATCAATGAGTCCAGAAACAGACCCACGTATACATGGAACTCAATGTATGACAGACAGCGGCACCGCAGAGCAGGGGGAAGACATGAAAAGGATGACCCAAGTCAGTAACATGTGAAGTAGAACAACCGCCCAGTTGGGTCCAGCTGACCCTCAGAATCATGAGAAATGACAAATGATTATTGTTTGAAGCGCTAAATTTTGGGATGGTTTGTTATTTAGCAATAACAAAAAAAGTTGGTACCTGGAAGTAGATTATTTCCATAATATAACTTAAAACATATAACACTGACATCAGGAGTGGGAAGCAATTGGAAATTTAAAGGATGTTGAGGAGATCGTTCTGTGGAGTCTAGAAAAGCAGTTAGGTTGCTATGAAAGGCTAGAGAGAAGGTGACCTGCCTATGTAGCAGGGGAAAGTTTAGTAACACTGTTGCCTGATTTATGTGGATGGTAGAAAATGTACCAATGAATACATAGACTTGGATAAAGAGATTCCAAGCAGGATGTAGAATGCCATGATTGGCTTCTTTAGCTGTCCAGTAAGAGAGACATGAACTAACTTCAAAGGTCTATTTAGTTTTGGAGCAATATTTAGTGGAAATAAAGACTATCTAGTAAAAGTATCTCCAGAGGCAAAAGAATTTCAAAGTAATAAATGGCCTCAGGGCAAAGATCAAATCAGGGATGAGTCAAGGGAGAGGCTGTAAGACTCTTCAGGAAGGTCTTTGAAAGATTTAAGGTGGTGCCTCATAGATCCTCTTACTTAAAAAGTACAGTTGACCCTTGAACAACACAGGTTTGAACTGTGCGGGTCCACTTACATGCAGATTGTCTTCTGCCTCTGCCACCCCTGAGACAGCAAGACCAATCCCTTCTCTCCCTCCTTCTCCTCAGCCTACCCTGAATGTGAAGATGAGAATGAAGACCTTTGTGATTATCCACTTCTACTTAATGAATAGTAAATATATTTTCTCTTCCTTATAATTTTCTTGATAATATTTTTTTCTGTAGCTTATTTTATTGTAAGAATACAATGTATATATTAATACATATAACATACAAAGTGTGGGTTAATCGACTGTTTAAGTCATCAGTAAGACTTCCAGTCAACAGTAGGCTATTAGTTAAGTTTTGGGGGAGTCAAAAGTTACACGTGGATTTTTGTCTGCAAAGAGGATCAGCGACCCATCTCCAGCATTGTTCAAGGGTCAACTATAAAGGAGTCTCAAAGAATCTTAAAGTCTTTGTCCCACAACATACTGATTCGTGGCCCTTGGCAAAGGAGGACCTATCTCAAGGAGATTTGTGGATATAGCTTTTGTTTAATGCAATAGATTACAATTAGATGCATAAAATTTTGTGTACCACAAAATTGTCAAGAGAGTTGTTCTAGTGAAAGCATGACTAGCTTGGAATTAAAAACAAAACAACAACAACAAAAAACCTAAGAAAATTTGGAAAAAGTCTCTGAGTCACCATTGCAAGCTGGGTGTCTGGGAGACAGAGAGCTTGCCTTTTCAGTTTCCAGATCAAAAGGAGCTATGCTCTAGGAGCCTCATTTGCAATT